AGTGGTTGCAGTGATGTTGTTAAAAAATTGCTGAAAGTTATTGACAATCCAAATGCTCAAAATAACAATGGTGTAAATGGCTTCATGTTGGCCTGTGCAAATGGGCATACTCAAGTAGTCACTTTGTTGTTAAAAGAACAAATAAATCATAATCATCAAAACAGCACCGGCCTTACAGCTTTAATGCTTGCTTGTGTAAATGGACATGTACAAATAGTTGAATTGCTTAAAAAAATAGTGGACATAAATGTTCAAAACAGCTATGGCATCAGCTCTTTAATGCTTGCTTGTGCATATGGGCATACAAAAATAGTGGAACTACTACTACAGGAACAATTAATTGATATTCATGCCCAGAATTGTGAAGGGTGGAATGCCTTAATGCTTGCAAGTTACAAAGATAAAATAGATATTGTTAAACTTTTGCTGGAAGCAGGACTTGATCCAAATATTCAAAGTAAACGAGGATATACAGCTTTAATGCTTGCTAGTTCTGCAGGACATTATGATGTGGTTGAGTTACTACTCGAGGAAAAAGCTGACCCAACAATTCAAGCTGCTGATGGTAATACAGCAATAAAAGTTGCCAAAGATGCTGAAATAACTCACTTGTGTCAAAAATACTGTTTGGACGATGACACAGATGAATCTGTGATGCAACCAAATCAAGATTTGGAAATAGCCAGCTCTGTAAAGTCTTTTTTAAGTTTTGTTGCAAGAACAAAATGTGGTAGTATTGTTTCATCTTTTTCTAGGAACTCAGCCAGTAGTGGCAGCTTTAGTATCTAGAATAATCTACATTTTATTATTTTACTGTTAGTTATTTTTGTTAGTATTTTGCTTTGATGTTTTGACACAGTTGTTATTGCTTATTCTAATTTAAAGTTATATTTTATTTATTAAACTCACATTCAAAATTAAAAGCCTTACACTTTCCACAATACAAATGAAGGCTGCACACATGCTTCTGTGTGCTCTGCACCATGCAGTTTTTGCAATTTGCACACTTGGTGTTGTGCAACTAAGAGTACTCTTGGTGCAACCCATAATGAGCCAATTTGAGCTGCCACGTGATTACACGTGACAACAATATACGGCCTACTGGATACTCCTCTCATCAATGGCGTCTCTAACTCTGGTGAGGTCGTTGAACCCCTACGCTCACTCATTTTTATTTTTATTCCTTGCTTTGAGCCCTCTTATGTTCCTAGGTTAGTTGTACTGAGCTATTTATAAATTTGTGTATTTTCACGCAAAGTACTTCTGTGTCAGTTTTAGATTTATTTTTGACTTTCTCCACAGCACACTGAATTACAATTGTTAATTAAGGGCATGCTTATATTACTTAACTGAGCTTTATCCTATATTCCAATGTTTTAGTCATTATTGAGTAGTTCTATTTTTAGGTGTTGAGGGCCAGACAAGGTGTTATATAAGGAATAGATGTGTGAATGGTGATATTGCTCCATCACCAATTGAATGCTGTGCGAAGAAGATACCAGATATTCAGAGAAACTGTGGGGACAGAAACAGTGAGAATTGCAACGTGTATTTCACTGTAGGAGGTGGAAACTGCACTCCATGTTTTTGTAAGCAAATAAAGCAATAACATATTTTATTTGCATAGCTCTTAATTTATTAATTTTATTAATTTTTACTTTTTATTATCACTGGCATTAAACTATGATACATATAACTTTGATGAAAATCATGAATAATATTAGTGGTTTTGCTCAAATAACAGGGACTATTAAATCATTTCCTGGTAGCACAATGCCTATTGTGCTCTTAAAATTCCATTATCGATTATTTTGATTCTTTTTTCTTGTATAGATATTGGATTTCAGCACAGCAGGATTATATTAAATGAAACAGGACTCCAGACTATACCAATTTTTGTTTCGTCCTTTGGAAGCATTCCATCATTCTTAATCACTGCTAACATACTCTACACTAATGCTACTGATAGTAATTTGAGATATTCCTAATTCATTTTTATTTTATAATGTGTCATAGATGTGGATTATACCTTTATGCAGCAGTATTTCTACTACCCAAACAGAGAGCCATTTGATACTAACATTGACATCAATATCAGGAACGACAATGTCGCTTTAGAAACGGTTGAAGAGGTGTTTTTAGGCCTGATGATGAACATTGGGTATATATTTGGTCAACACTACACAACTATTTATATTAAAGACAATGATGGTCGGTTATTATTGTATTGTTTGTAACCTCTCTACTTCTTATTCTCCTTTTTTTTTTAGTTCTAACACTCTCTGTCAGTCCTACATTCCTTCAAGTTTCAGAAAGTAGTATAGTTTCGTTTGCTGTCAGTAAAGACAAAGTGACAGCAGTACCAGTAAATATCACAGTAACGCCACTAACCTACCAGCAATACTCTAATAAAACTGCTACCAATAACAATTTGCCTTCACTGAGTAGCATAACAAATGCTCCTTCTAATCCTGCTGAAGGTATTAATCTATTAATATTAGTTATGTTTACAAATTATTGAAATTAATTTTGTAATTTATTTTAGAACAAGATTTTGATAGTGCCATTGTACAGTTAAGCCTTGATACTTCGATTGGTGCATTTTCTGTGAGTATGAATGAGCTAGTCAATGATGATAACATTGTTGAAGATCCCGAAGGACTCATCTTGTTAATTGAATCAACGAATCCTGATTCTCGTATCAGATTTAACACTCAAATTGTTGTGATTCAGATCAATAGTGATGACAGTAAGTCATTACTTACAATAAGTTATTCCATTATTAATAGGCCTTGTTCTCTCTTTTGATCAGAGCAGATTGCAGCTGAGTGAAAACAGTAACTCTGTTTCGTTAAATATTATGCAGCAGACTGGAGTGGTATCAGAATTAGATCTAAGTACTCTTATCCTTAGTTATCAAACCATCCCTTCATTAATTGGTACATATTTTTTGTTAGTGCATAATAATAATACTTCAGACATTATATTGTACTATTACTGGTATGTGGTATGTTATGCACAAAATATGGTATTAAACTTTAAGCTATATTAATTTTGATAAAGTAAATAATATTATTTGTTTTTTAAATGTAGGAGATGTAGTGTTTTCACCTCCTGGTAATTTGGTTTTTAACAGAGAAGGGACAAGTCTTAATATGACTGCAATTTATCACAAGACGATATGAGAAAATCAAAATTATGTGATACACTTTCGACCAGTCAATAACAGAACCAGTGTTCAATTTTATCCGACTAATACTGTTAACCTGATACTGACTTCAAACAAAAGTAGGACTTAGTGTACATAATCTCATTAACCTCCATTACTGCACATTCAATACACACAGAGGCTGAAGTAAGGTTTGCTATGGGTCAAGCTACATTCTCTGAAGGAGGAGGAAATCAATCAATCACTGTCATACTAGGAGGAGCATAATTAAGTCAAAGTGAAGATGTTGAAGTATATATTGATGATGGAACTACAAGTACGTTTGAACATTTATACTTGTAATTATATGCAGCATTTGCAAATTTCGGGCTAAAAGGTGGCATGATTCTGTTCAATTTAATATTATGAATTTTGGTCCAGGCCGGTCATGCATGAGCCATGATTTTTTTTACCAAAATTTGATGAGATAAATTACAAGTCAAATATTAGCTTTGCCTAAAAAATATAAGAGCCAAAATAATAACTACATGTGTACTTATAGCTGTGTGCTATCTAACTGGTGCAATCTTAGTGCATCTCGCTAAATAAAATAAAAACTGATAGTAAGTTAGTGACCAAAATTACCCAAAGAATTGCCATCTTAAGCTAAAATAATTATAATTTAAATGACCTTTATTCCAATAGATAGAACATCACTTGGTTTTGTGACATTTGATACTGGTGCTGTACTACGGAATAGGACTGTTGTTTTTCCAGTAGTTGATAATGACATTGCACTGGAACCTGATAAACTTTATCTATTAAGATTGAGGAACATTGGTAATATAGGTTTGGGTAATCCAGGAACAATGAATGTGACTATAGAGGATGATGATGGTAAGTAAATAGAATATTTTAGAGGATTTTTTACAATTAATTTTTTCAATTACAATTGCAATTTTTATTTTTAAATACATGTACAATACTTTAATACCTTCAACATTAGTACCTGTAATTAAAGTCACTCTAAAAATGTGATTAACATTACTAAATTTAGCTGCGTGCCTCCCTCCAAAAATTGATTTGCCAGATAGGTACTATGGTGTATGGCTTAAATAATTGCACTGCATGATTTTGACATTAATTTTTGATTTAAGAGTTTTATAAAAGTATTTTTTGTACATTTGTGTTTGCATGAATCAGGTCAAACATTCCACATACCATAAGATGTATGAGAAAAAATTATAAAATAAAGAATCCTTCCTTTTTTAATTTTAGCAAAATTTTTGAACAGCTTTGAAAATTTGTAAAAAATCCAAATTTGATTGGAATCAGCTCAAACTTTCTACTCAACGTAAGTTCATGTATATGTATCAGAAAAAAATTTTTAAATGGAGAATTCTCTCCTAGCCAATATTTCTGTACTGTAGTCATCATATTTTTGAGCAGCAATTTTAATCAAAATTTACCCAAATGTATAAAAACATGCATATTTATGAGAAAATGTAAAAGAATTCTTTTTGAGCCATTTTGATGAAACACCCAGTTATTATTCAACACTGCATGTACAATGTATATTGCTGAAAAAATTATTTTTATGCCACTCTCAACATTATAATGACGACATGAATTATTACATCACTATCTATCACTAGGAATACATTTCTATTATTATTATTACTGTTACCTTGTTTTATATAATCTATTGTTACTTAATTTGCAGGTGCCTTTCTATCATTGGAGAGGAGATTATATGCTGTGACAGAAGATGTCAAAAGTATTGGAATTTGTGTCACTTTAACCAGAGGAGTCATATCCAGTCCTTTATATATTTTCATCATTGACGTAGGAGGAACTGCAACATACCCAGGTACGAATGATCATGCTATGTTAGTCTATCAATATCAATTATTCATTTTTAGTTGACTACCTTTTCTATGATATTCGCTTGCAAATGCCTCCATATCAAAACAGCACTTGTGCTACACTCTACATTGTGGATGACGATACTAAGGAGAGGAGATATGAGGAGTTCTATATGTATATTTTCAGAGTATTTCCTCGGCATAAGAACTTGTTGGTGAACAACTCTTGGTCAACTGTTAGGATACAAGATGATGATATTTCCATCACATAATTTATTTTGTTTAATTTTGATAGTCCCATTTATAACTGGATATTATTAATAAACGCATAATTATAAAACCACAATATTAGAGGCAAGAATGCAAGATGGCTCTTGTTTTATTATCCTTGGCTTTGCTCTTACTCTCAGGTGAATTTACTGTATTATTATTGAAGTATTAATTGGTGCATACTAAATAGCTCAGGGTCATTTGCAAGATTATGAAATTGTGCAGTGTTACTCGTCCTTTTATAATTGTGTTAGTAATACTAATGGAGTCAGTCTTGCAGCTATTGACTGCTGTAATAGAACTAGTGGAGGATATATATCTCATTCTTCACTAGCTGCACAGTGTGGTGCATGCGTTGGTAAAAATAGAATATGATACTTTCAATAAGTCAGGTTAATTTTTTGTTATTCACTAGTTGTTGGTTTTGATCAATCACGTGTGCATATTGGTCCAAGTGATGCTGGTAGAAGATACTCATTTACTGCTGATGTACTCCTCAGTACTCCTGGGGCTCCTGATGTTACTGGTCTGGATTACGTTATTTCACGAGAGCCAGCTATGCCAGTTAATAGTAAATAATGCTTTTTTACTTTAAATTTATTTTTTCTGCTTACAGTTGATAACTATCTAAGCTCAGATTTTACTGGACGAACCAATGGTTTCCTACCAGAAAGGTTTAGCATACGATATGTATCACAAGGGAATGCTGTTGCTCTTCAACCAACTCTTTCATTTGATTACACAATTGCTGCTGAAACTGGTCCAATTGATCCACCAATACCATCAGGAGTTGTACTTGTATACAGATGTCTTAGCATTACAATTGATGATATAGACAGTGAGGGCAATTTTGTATTTGAATTATTATTATCTCTCACTCTCAGTAATTTTTGTAGGTCTGATAGGATCATGCCCATGCTTTCCACCACCATTAGAAGGTGGTAATGCTGTAGTTGGCATTAGACGTCAAAGTATTGAGTATGAAACTCCTTTTGAAGTCACTGTCTCCCTTGAGAGGTATACTGGCCCATTGGCTCCTGATGAAGCTGCTGTAGGAGACTTTGGTATGAAATTTAATTTTTTTAACAATAATTATATGTGACCATAATTGACAAAAGGTACCTTATGGCGGATAGGAAAATTGGTCTTTAAAGCCTAAAAAATCCAAGTTCCTGAGCTCCATTTATCATGAAATTACTCCAGAGGATGCAAAAAGTTACTATGTAGCTTATAGAAACAATTGTTGACTAACAGAGCACTCACAGGTTGATATTTTTCGTTATAAAGATGAATTTTAATATTCGCCATAAGGTACCTTTTGTCAATTATGGTCACATATTCACTTCTTTAATTTAGATTTATTCAATTTTACTGAACAACGTAGTGTTGTGTTTCAACCAGCAACAACATGTCAATTTCGGTTTGATCAACGTTTTGAACGTGTGATTTTCTTCATGCCACGGGATAATATTGTGGAGTTACAAGAAGTGTTTAGAATGAGACTCAGTGTTAATGATTCTAGAGTTAGACTAGATCCTGACACTCAAATAGTAAGACTTGAAAATCGAGATGGTAAGTCATTTGTTCATGAGATAACTAGTTTTATTAGCTTTTTGTTTGTATTATAGTTTTCAGTATTGGACTTAGAGAACTAGAAGTTACTATTAAAGAAGGAGAAGTTGCCCCATTAACTATAAAGCAGATAGGAGATGAGACTGGTGGTTTAGACATTGGAGGTTATCCAGAGAGTCGTTTACAACCAGTTCGATTGAGACACATAGCTGGGACTGCCACAAGGGGTTAGTATTATCGTAGTCATGTAGTTGGTTTTTGATATTAAATTTTAGGTAGTGATTACTCTCTTAAATTTACTGTTCCAAGATTAACTTTAAGAGCCAATAATAGACTGAATGATATTACATTCACTCCTATCACTAGTATTGATGATAATATCATTGAGGGAAATGAAACAATAAGAGTCATCATATTACCTGGTGGTGACAATGTTGTTCAAGTACAGAGAGCTCTGCAGACAGCTACCATCACCATTATTGATGATGACAGTGAGTTAAGAGGGGAGAAAAGGTCATATTAACACTGTAATATTCACTGTATAGCTGGTGTGCTGTCATTAGAGAGAGGAACATATGATGTGATTGAGAATGAAGGAACTGTAGAAATATGTGCTGTACTAACTGGAGGAGTATTATCAACTGATACAGAAATAACCATAAGAGCTAAAGATAACACTGCACGATTTAGGAGTAAGTATTAATATTAATATTCATTAAATTATGTCTCATTTAATTAGGTGACTATAATACTCGTAGAATTCGTTCAAGATTACGTGCATTTACAAACAGGACATGTGGTAGATTTAATGTTATCAATGACACCATTAGTGAACAACTATTTGAGAACTTTACAGTATTTATAAGTGATGTCTTTCCAGAAAGTAGTGGATTAACAATAAACCGGATTCCATCATTCATCAGGATACAAGATGATGAACGTTAGTGTGTTAATATTTATAGTAGTGCATGTTTACTAGTGTAATGTAATGTAGAGGTATTTTAGTATTAAATATAGGTTAAAAGGTATTCACACTATTTGGAACCCAAGGGCAAAGCCCAAGGAGTTCCAAATAGTGTGGACACCTTCAAACATGGTTTAACTCATTTAAACTAACCATGAAATAATGATTGTACCATACTACGCGTTATGCATTGTGTGTATGTGGGCTTTTGTTGGCCTCGCCTATGCGAGGTATGGGTAGTTGTTGTGTCTGTTTGTCATTCATTCTGTACAACCGAATTTTGTCTTTAATAAACTATAAATTTAGCACAGCATGTTTCAAGCTCCTAATCTTTCTTTTTGGCCTGGAAAAGTCTTGCTTAACTATTTTGTGTTGCTTAAATATAAGCACTAGGTACAAGAAGCTTCAAAGTAAGAAAATCGAGTAGTTGAGTCAAGTTCCATTGTGTTGCACTTTAGAGATAGCTGGTAGCATTTTCCACACTGAGTAGATTAGAGGATGGCCTTCAAAAAATATGAACAAAATTCTTTAAATCTTACCTGATGAAGAGTTATCATTGTCCTGGTTCTAGTTTGTGAAGCACTGGAGCAACAACCTACTGGGCTATAGGTACTAAAGTGTCTATACTATCTCAAATATATAAAGGGAACAACTTTCTGTCAGCAAGTTTATCATATATTGCTGATTAGTAAAGAAAAGGTTAATCTTCTTTCTCACATGGCCTTCTTGCTGCCATCATTGCATTTGATGATGTAATGCCACACCTTCAAGCTGGGAGCAGCTTGCATGTGTGTGCTGCTACTTCTGCAGGTATTCAAGAGCAAGTGCAACTGCAGAATACTGTATGTTGTAGCAGACTGCCAAAGCTTTTTTAATGTTGATAATGAAACAGCTATTGCAGCGAGGCCACGTACCATAGGTGCCTTGTTATGATAGTGACAATGTGTTATTATTGCGCAATACTAGTGGGCTTCATGGTATTTGGAAACCTCATTAGCAGCTAAAACATCAAAGAGAATTACATGTATGCATAGTTAGTTTAATTAATATTTTCACATAGCTCCTCATAAACATCCATTTTGTTTATCCGATTTGTTTAATTTGTTTTATTATCCAATTTTTGGTATATAGCTAATTGCATTGATGGATCCATTCGTCTTGTTGGTGGTACAAACAGCATGGAGGGACGTGTTGAGGTATGCAGTGGTGGAGCATGGGGTACAGTCTGTGATGACTCCTGGGATTCCACTGATGCTGGTGTTGTATGTAGACAGCTGGGATATGGTTCAGGTAAGGAAAGGTTTATAGGTAACTATGTGAGTGTCCCAACATAGGAACAGCCTTTGGTAGTGCCTACTTTGGACAAGGAAATGGATCAATTGTTTTGGATGATGTCCAGTGTGATGGACGTGAATCTTACTTTACAAACTGTACACACACCACAAATCACAACTGTGCTCACTCTGAAGATGCAGGAGTCAGATGTGCTTGTAAGCATACAAACTTCTTTTATTTTGCACAAAATGTTTTCTAGAATATGTTTTGTAGTGCTTTTAATTTTGTAGATTGTGTGGTCTAACACTAATTGCAATTAGTTTCTAATTTGATAGGGTTTTGTAGCAGCATACACCCAGTTAAAATTTTAATTGCCAAACCTCTCTTCGAGTTGATTTGCCAATTTAACTTTCCAAATTTTCTAGCTATATGGTAGTAGTTTTTTGAGGATAGCAAATTTTACAAATTTTATTAATTTTTTGAAGTTTTTTGAACTTAAATATTGTGAAATCAATTTAATACGCTGAATAGTAGTGAAAATTTTCAAAAAATTAATTTTTGAATTTCTGGATACACATCATTTTGTAAAATTATAATTTTTGAACTTGCCACATGACATTATTTTACAGCCTAATAAGAAGCCCATTTTAGTGCACGCAAAAGAGAAAAAAGTTCAGTCCACAAAAAACTTACACTTGTGTATTTAAAGCCATTATAAGGTCATTTCAGTTTTTTCTACCTGTATGGTGCCACGTCACTATATTGCAGTTTAAAATAATAACTATTAATTTTCAAGGATCTGCAAAATATTTTAGCCAACAAAAATTTATTCTATATAATGTTTCTTTATCATTATTCACTTCAGTTTATTATGTAATTTGATATTACTTGTTTGTACTGATTCCAACATGCACCTAAATTCAGAATACCCAAAAAAATTTTTTTAGTATATAGGAAGCAATGAGTATTCGCATTGAGGGTACATGAAGCATGAAATGAATTGTATATAGCTAGTGACTATACACATTTATGACATAATAGTTCAAATAATTTTGCAATTGTATTGCTGTATATTGTGGTTATCTTTTCTAGGGTTTTTTTATTTCACTACGTTTGCAATTTAAACGATATTTGCAAAAATTTTAATTTATGAAAATTTGTACTAATAATAATGATGAGTAAAGAAAATAATTTTCCTTGTAAATAGGTTGAAGATGATTTTGTGAAATATGTTACCTGGAAACTATACGTATTTTTCAATTTTTGACTGATACTGCATCTGTTACCAATTTTTGACATAAGGTTGCATCAAAATCCTGATGGTTAAAGTACCAGCAAAACTTTGAATTTATTGTGCTCTTTTGTGACATATCTATGCATTTATGTATTGGTCATACTTTTAGTTTTTACTTCTCTAAATCACACATGATTATACTTTTATTATCATAAAAATGCATAGCACAGATTTCATTATTACTGTTATTACTGCTGTGTTAGCTCATACTTTATTCATAGCATCAATTATTAGTCTTTCAGATAAACTATGTGTCATGTGCTATAATTATATTTAACAATATAAATCTATTAATAATCAAATAAAAATTGTATACTGAATAATCAGTTTATTCTTTTCAAATATTTTACAGATTGTACTACTGGATCAATCCGTCTTGTTGGTGGTTCACACGGTTGGGAAGGAAGAGTGGAAGTGTGTGATAGTGGATCATGGGGCACTGTCTGTGATGATTTCTGGGGCTCCCCTGATGCAGCAGTAGTGTGTAGACAACTAGGCTGGGGAACAAGTGAGTTGATTCCTTTTGACAATGAATGATATATTGTGACAGGTGGAACTGCTCGAACAAATGCCTACTTTGGTCAAGGTACTGGTAGTATCCTCCTGGATGATGTTCAGTGCACAGGAACAGAAGAGTTTTTGACAAACTGCACACACTTGAGTACTCACAACTGTGGACACTCTGAGGATGCTGGAGTAAATTGTGACGGTTTGTTTGAAGATTAAATTTGTGTTGTTAATAGATGTATTTATTACTTTAGTTTGTACTTCTGGTTCTCTGCGTCTTGTTGGTGGATCAAACTCGAATGAGGGAAGAGTGGAACTGTGTCAAAATGGAAGGTGGGGTACAGTGTGTGATGACTTCTGGGACAACACTGATGCTGGTGTTGTATGTAGACAGCTGGGATATGGTTCAGGTAAGGAAAGGCTTATATGTTGATTGGAGTGTGAGTGTCCCAACATAGGAACTGCCTTTGGTAGTGCCTACTTTGGACAAGGAAGTGGATCAATTTTGATGGACGATGTCCAGTGTGTTGGAAGTGAATCTTACCTTACAAACTGTACACACACCACAAATCACAACTGTGGCCATTATGAAGATGCAGGAGTCAGATGTGCCTAATTGCACTGTTATGAATGAATCATTGCTTGTACCACAGATTGATAATGAAACAATTATTTTTGTGAAATTCATGAAATTTTAGTATACTGTATACACCATATATTTTACAGAGATTAAATTTCACAATTTTGCATTTTGAAAAAATTGCAAAATTAAAATCCGCATAATAGCGTGCATATTATATAGTAGGTGTAGTGATTACATTAAAATCGCAAAATTTTTATTCACAAATACAAAAATGCAGCTAAATCGCAAAATTTTATACCCGCATAATATATGGCATATACAGTAATTTTTGGTTTATTTTCATGAATTTTATTTTGGAATTGATCATACCATGCACGACATAAAATTGCATATTTTGTCCAGTAATTTTTCGAAATATGAAATTTGCAATCTAGAATTTGCCACAAAATATGATTACTGCTTAAATAGTCAATAGTCATAATTATGAGTAATTAAAATAACAAAAAATTATCTAGTATTGTCCACATACACTTCAATAGCCATGTCAAAGAAAACACAATGGTTTGCCATACCCTCTCATATCCAGTACAATTATTTTCTTTATTTTAACTGCATTACAATTCCATTTGATACTAATGTTGACATCAATATTAGGAATGACAATGTCACTTTAGAAACAATTGAAGAAGTGTTTTTAGGCCTGATGATGAACACTGGGTATATATTTGGCCAACACTACCCAACTATTTATATTGAAGACAATGATGGTCAGTTACTATTGTATTGTTTGTAACCTCTCTACTTCTTATTCTCCTTTTTTCTTTAGATTCTAACACTCTCTGTCAGTCCTACATTCCTTGAAGTTTCAGAAAGTGGTATTTTTTCATTTACTGTGTCAGTAAAGATAAAGAGACAGCAGTACCAGTAAATATCACAGTAACGCCACTAACCTACCAGCAATACTCTAACAAAACTGCTACTAATAACAATTTACCTTCACTGAGTAGCATAACAAATGCTCCTTCTAATCCTGCTGAAGGTATTAAATAATATTTGCTATGCTGAGAAATTAATTTATAAGTTATTTTAGAACAAGATTTTGATAGTGCTAGTGTACAGTTAAGCCTTGATACTTCGATTGGTACATTTTCTGTGAGTATGAATGGGCTAGTCAATGATGATAACATTGTTGCAGATCCCGAAGGACTCATCTTGTTAATTGAATCAGCGAATCCTGATTCTCATATCAGATTTTACACTCAAATCATTGTGATTCAGATCAACAGTGATGACAGTAAGTCATTACTTAGAATAAGTTATTCCATT